ATAAGTTGAGAGTTCTGGTACAGATTGTTCAGTATGCATTTCATTCTGGGAATTTAGTTTTCCCTGAATCATCAGATTTAGGTGAGGTTTATTTGAAGCTGAAGACATTCTCAGGGGGCTCATTCTCATCTCTGATAAGGAGATATGGTGCTGGAGTTATTTTGTTTGTCTGGTTCATTAAAGGTCATAAAACTAGGGCTGGGAAAGTGGCTCAGTGGTAGAACACTTGCCTTGCATGCATGAGGCCCTGGGTTCGATTCCTCAGCACCACATACGCAAAAAGAAAAAAAGCCAGAAGTGGTGCTGTAGCTCAAGTGGTAGAGCACTATCCTTGAGCTGAAGAGCTGAGGGACAGCGCCCTGGCCCAGAGTTCAGGCCCCATGACCGGACCCAAAAAAAAAAAAGTTCATAAAACTGGAGCCAGGTGCTAGTTGCTCACACTGTAATCCTAGCTACTTAGGAGGCTGAGATCTGAGGATTGAGGTTCAAAGCCTGAGCAGGAAAGTTTTTGAGACTCTATCGCCAATTAACTACCAGAAGACTGGAAGTGGCACTGGTTCAAGTGGTAGAGCGCTCACCTTGAGCTGAAGAGCTGAGGGACAGTACCCAGGCCCAGAGTTCAAGCCCCACGACTGACCAAAAAAAAAAAAAAGAAAGAAAAGAAAAAGAAAAGTTCATAAAACTGGTTTGAAGTGTTATTCTTTTTTGTTTTGTTTTTGGTCGGTCATGGGGCTTGAATTCTGGGCTTGGGCGCGGTCCTCAGCTCTTCAGCTCAAGGCGAGCACTCTACCACTTGAGCCACAGCGCTGCTGGAGATAAGAGTCTCAGGGACTTTCCTGCCGGTGCTGGCTTTGAACTGTGATTCTCAGATCTCAGCCTCCTGAGTAGCTAGGATTACAGGCATGAGCCACCGGCGTCAGTGTCCGGCTGGAAGTGTTATTCTTAATTCTCAGATGTCAGTTTTCATTTAAGTTGGTATTCTGCTTATAGAATCAAGAGTATGTTCTGTCTTGCCAATATGTTAAATCAGCTGAAGAGGTAAGCTAGTGTAACCATGCAATATTAAATACAGTGAGGAGTTTGGTTTAATTTTACTTTTTCTCATATGTTGAATTGTTAATTTTGAAAGTGTTTGGGCCTTTGCTCCTTAAAAGTGCTCTCTTGGGAATAACTGTCTTTTCAGTTATAATACTCTTAATAATCTGCAGTATGCAATAGGAAGCTAGAATCTTTCATAAATGGGTTTAAATATACTTAAAGGATTATTACTGCTTGGTTTTACATTAATTATATTAGCCAATTAAATTTTGGCACCATTGTTAATTAATGTTGACTTTAGTCAACAAAATATATGTGATAGTAAACTTAACAATCTAAATTGCAAAGTAGGTCACTGGGTCAGTAGCTTACTGGGTTAGTTTCCATACTAGAGTATAAGTTTAGTGACTAATGCTTCCTAGGCAAGCACTCTGTCATTTGAGCCATGGTCCCAGCTAGTTTAATCTTTTTATCTCAAGTTTTCAAGTTAACTTCTCAATAATTAATGTCATTAATTAGATGAAATTGAAAGGATTTTTTTCTTAAGGACACAGGAAATTAATCTTGCGTTACTCAATGTTTTATTTCTGGAATAGGTAATATATATTTAACATTACTCCTTTTATATACAAAGAAAGAATGAAAGAGAAAGGGGGGAAGGATGGAGGGAAAAAAGGAAGGAAGGAGGGAAGGCAAAAAGGACTGTAATACTGAACAATTAAAAGGAAAAACAACAATTAAATTGTAAAAATAATACATGTTCATGGGAGACATTTTAGAATATGCTAAAGAAAAAGTAAAGTGTGCAATTTGTTCTTCAACTAGTCTTTGAGGTTATAAGGTTAGTTGTTTGAGATCTTAAATTTTTTAAATTTATTTTAGCGTTAGATATTTGAACCCAGGGCCTTACCAGGACCTACTACTGAGTGACATCCCCAACATTTCTTAATTATTTAATATTACTTTATATATTTTTAAGTATTAATGATGAAACAAAATAATAAAACATGAAGCATTTTATGAGTAACAGTTACTTTAAAAGTTTCAGAAGTTTTTAATATAAGAAATACTATGGAGAGTAAAATTCACTTTTTATTATTAAGCACCACTATAATGTAATAAAATTAGAGATTTCAACATGCTAGAATTATATCTGCAATAGATATTTGATAATAGGTAACAGTGATGTTCCTTATTTCTAATGCTGATTATTATTAATCAAATCAATGCCAAATCATATAAAATAATATATAACATTCAAATACTAGATATTTCTCAGTTTCAATTATTCATGATAATTTTAAAGCATGCAAAGCACAGAATTCCTTACCTAAAATTCTGTTTTTTTTGCTTAAAAGTGTGATTTTCCAGATGTCAAAATATTTTATACCTTGTTATGATATTGGTTATATTTTTGCAAGACCTTTCAAAAGCATTTTCATCTTGGAAAGTTAGAAAACATATTGGATCACATGAGCTCTTTCCTTTTAAGCTTATTTTTAACTGATTCTTAGAAATATAGGCACTGTAAAGGTTAACAAGAAATAATGTTTAAATCAGGGCAAATACTTTCTTTTTTGGGGAGGGGGGCGGGGGTCTGGTTGTGGGGCCTGAACTCTGGGCCTGGGTGCTGTCCCTCAGCTCTTCACCTCAAGGCTAGCGCTCTTCACCTCAAGCCACAGTGCCACTTCCAGCTTTTTTTTTTCTGCTTATGTGGTGCTGAGGAATCAAACCTAGGGCCTCATGCATGCAAGGCAAGTGCTCTACCACTGAGCCACCTTCCCAGCCCAGGACAAATACTTTCATATCAGACACATTTCTTAATTTTTACTGTAGACATTTGTTGCTGTGACATTCCCTCCCTGCTTTATTGTAGCATACACTCTCTCTCTCTCTCTCTCTCTCTCTCTCTCTCTCTCTCTCTCTCTCTCCCCTCCCCCCCCCAGAAAACCACCAGAAAACTGGAAGTGGCACTGTGGTTCAAGTGGTAGAGCGCTTACCTTGAGCTGAAGCACTGAGGAACAGCACCCAGGCCCAGAGTTCAAGCCCCACAACTGAGCTTGAACTCAGGGTTAGAGCCTGAGCACTGTCCCTGAGCTCTTTTGCTCAAGGCTAGTGCTCTACCACTTTTAGACAGTTCCACATCTGATTTTCTGGTGGTTAATTGGAGGTAAGAGTCTCTTGGATTTTCCTACTCGAGCTGGCTTTGAAACATGATCCCCAGATCTCAGCCACCACAGTAGCTAGAATTATACTCATGAGCCACCAGCACCAGGCATTAGCCTATAAATTTTTATCACTTGTGTTTTCATTTGTCTCAAAATATTTTCTAGTTTCCCTTTTGATATTTTCCTTGATATTTTAAGAATACATTGTTTAGTTTTTACAGGTTTGCAAATTTCCCAGTTTTCCTCTGTTACTGACTTCTGTTCTCATTCCATTGTGGTCAGAAAAGGTACTTATCATTTCAGTCTTTAATTTGTGTTTTGGTTTTGTTTTGAGTCAAGATCTCTCTATATAACCCTGAGTCTCAGTCCTGGAAATTGCTATATAACCCAGGCTGATCTGGAACTTGATTCTCTGTTTTACCCTTCCAAGTTTGAGATAACAGGCTTGTGCAACCATGTCTGACATGAAGTTGTTAAAACTTGTTTTGTGAACAAATGTGATCTGTCATAATCATATTCTCTGTATACTTGAAAAAATGTATATTCTGATGCTTTTGGGTTAAATGTTCTATATGTCTGTTAAGTCTATCTGTTTGGTTTATAATGTTATTTAAGTCTGCTCTTTGTTTTCTCCTGGATGACAGGTCCATTATTGAAAGGTAGGAAATTAAAATCTCTGTTTTGTTGCTGTAGGTTCCTAATGAATTGACCCTTTTCTTAATATAAATGTCCTTGTTTCTTAAAATACTTTTTTACTTAAAGTCTATTTTGTCTGATATAGGATAGCCACTTATGCTGTCTTTCTTTGTTTTCATTTGCATGAAATAACTTTTTCCATCCTTTTGTGTAGTCTTAAACTTAACTGTAGATGACACATACTTGGACCTTGTTTTTAAATCCATGCAGCTACTCTACATCCTTAGACTGGGGAGTTTAATCCAGTTATATTTAAAGCAGTTAACTACCATAGAAGAAGGGCTCTTTTCTACCTTGTAGCTCTCTTGTTCCTTACCTTTCTTGCTGTCTTCCTTTGTATTGGTTGACTTTTTTTGTTGTTGTTGGTGGTGGTTGTCGGGCTTGAACTCTGGGCCTGGGTTCTGTCCCTGAGCTCTTCAGCTCAAGGTGAGCACTCTACCACTTGAGCCACAGTGCCATTTCCAGTTTCCTGGTGGTTAATTGGAGATAAGATCCTCACAGACTTTCCTGCCCTGGTTGGCTTTGAACCTTGATCCTCAGATCTCTGTCTCCTGAGTAGCTAAGTTACAGGTGTGAGTCACGGGTGCCCAACCTGATTGACTTTTTTATTTAAGAGTTTTATATTGTGTTTCCATATAATTGTTCCCATGTATAAATTCTTTGTGATTACTTAGTGTCTTTTATGAGACATCTTAGCTAAAACTGTAAGTTGTACTGTTTCCCCTTCATTATTAATGTCACCAATTACATCCATTTAGTATTGTATATTTGTGAATATATTTTATAATTTTGTGATTTATGACTTTAAAGTCTTTTTCCTTTTTCAGAAATAATTTGTAGGATTTAAGTTTGTTAATATGTTTTATGGCATGGTTATAAATGTTATTAGTTTTAAAATGTTTTATTTAAGACATTTTTCATGGCTGATGGAGTTGCTCAAATGGTAGAGCAACTGCTCAGCAAGTGTAAAGCCCTGAGTTCAAATTCCGGTACTGCTGAAAGAAAGGAAGTAAAACATTTTTCGTGACAGAATTCTGAGTAGGTTGAGAAATATTCTGTGAGTTGAATAAAGCTAACTTTTTTCTCTTGTTTAAACAGAATTCTGATGTTGATGAACAGTCATATAGAAAAGAACTTGAACCTGTAGTATCTGAGAAATCTATTTGAAAGTTTGGAAAAGTGCAAAAGGTAATGATGGATGCCTTTAAAATTGTAGCATGGTAGCAGAGCATATTTAAAAACTATTATCAATTGTACAAAGGAGCTGTCATTTAACAAAGCAGTTCATGAATACAGTATATCTTGATCAATGTCACACCTGTTTTTAAATGGTAGCAGAAATCTAAGGGATTTATTTATTCTGTAGCAAAAGACTAAAAAAGTAGCAAACATAACTGAGAATGGCATGAACATAATGAAATTGAGGAGATTAAGAACCATGGCTACCAGATTTTTATACTCTTCCAGTAAGAGTTGTGGAAGTTTTTTTTTCTGTGAACCCAATTGCATGCAGATTTTCCAAAGAAATATTCAGCCTACAATCTCTGCAGTAAAGTTAATAGAAAATAGCCTTATCACATAGTTTTCAGTGATCTTTTTAGTGCTCCCTTCCTCCCCCAAATCTGAACTTGTGGCCAGAGATTACTAGATACTTGAGAAAACCCTATTATGTGAGAGACAAAGATCAAACCAAAAGACAAGATACCAAGTTAGGGAAAATGGAAGTAAGAGGAATGCATAAAACACAAGAAGAGGTGCTACACTATAAAATATGAGAGACAAACAACTAAAAAAGAATTAAAGAATAAAATTGCTTTGTTAACTATTAAACACAATGAAAAAGAGAAGGAAAATTAAAGAGAAAATATAAAACAAGAGAGAGAGCGAGCACAGTCTAAGAACTGTAACATTCAAATAAAGCGGATTCCGAGAAGATGGAATTAAGAAAATAAATGGAAAATACGAAAACAAAGAATAATGATTCAAGAGTATATAGTCTTTCCAGCGGGGGGAGGGGGGGGTTCATTGTAATCCTAGCACTTGAAAGGTTAAGGTAGGAGGCCTTAGTGTTTGACACCAACCTGTCTGCATAGTGAATATCAAGCAGGCTGGGACTCCATGGCAAGAATGTCTCAAAACAAAGCAAAACAAAACAAAAATCAGTTTGTTGTTTACTATAAAAAGGGTGAATCTAAATTTTTTCCCTTTCCACACACATACGGATATTACATTTTTATAGATACATTATCCATAAACTTTATATGCTATGTAGATGTAATTATATCTACATAGATATGGATATAGTCTATATATGAATATACTTTATAGTATCCTTACTATATATACTATATTCATACTATATATATGTATATAGATAGCTATGCTGTGTGTGTGTGTGTGTGTTCCTATGTATATAGTTATATCCTAGAGGGTTTTGTTTTGAGACAGGCCATCCTCAATTTGGGATCCTTCTGCCTGAACCAGTTGACAATTGGGATTTCAAGCATATGCCACTCACTATGCCTGTTTTTTGCCCATTCTCCCTCTCCTCTTGCCAGTTCTTAGTTCTTTTTTGTTTGTTTTGTTTTTGTTAGTCTGGGGCTTGAACTCAGAGCATAGGCACTGAGCTCTTTTTAAAAGCTCAAGACTGGTGCTCTACTTCTTTGAGCCACAGCTCTACTTCCAGTTTTTGAGCAATTAATTGTCTCATGGGGGCTTTTCTGCCTGGGTTTGCTTCGAACCTCTAGCCTCAGATCTTCCTGGGTAGCTAGCATTATGGGTGTGAGCCACCAGCCCCCACTTAGTTTCTAATTTTTACTTATTTATTTTTGTCAGTCGTGGGGCCTGAACTCTGGGCTAGCACTCTACCACTTGAGCCACAGCGCCACTTCCAGCTTTTTCTGCTTATGTGGCTCTGAGGAATCAAACCTAGGGCCTCATGCATACAAGGCATGTAGTCTACCACCAAGCCACCTTCCCAGCCCTCTGCTTTTTAATAAACATCGTCATTGTTTACTGGATGACAAATTAAGTTTTGTTCTTACCTCTGAACTCTTAAAGCTCTTCTTTTAAATTTATACCAAATGGTTGTTTGCTTTGCACTGTTCTTTTTGTTCTAGTGATACATCTAGCCTCTTTGATTACCATAAGTAACCAGAGGGGTGTGATCTTTAAAGTCTGTTCTAATGTTAACATTTTGTAATTAGATATTCTGTCTGCAAATGGTACTCTAGATACTTAAAAGTCACTATGTGTTGATTCTTTTTATCCTTCTGACTCCTGAAATCATTATCTTTTAGGAATTCTTAACCCATTACAATTCTACTTCTGCAGCCATAACCACATATGCCAGTGTTATTTATTAAGGGCTACATCCCCTACATTTGAGAAACAGTACAAAATCTTTTTTATAATACCTTTTTTTTCTCTGGTTTGAAGTTATACATTAATTTATTTTCTAAATTTTAAATAAAGATATAAAGTAGACCTTCCCCCTGCCACCATGTGCTTTTTTTTTTTTTCATTTGTGGGGCTTGAACTCTGGGCCTGGGCACTGTCCCTGAGTTCTTCAGCTCTCTACCACTGGAGCCACAGCGCCACTTCTGGCTTTTTCTGTTTATGTGGTGCTGAGGAATCGAACCCAAGGCCTCATGCATGTAAGGCAAGCACTCTACCACTGAACCACCTTCTCAGCCCCCTCCCCCTCCATGTGCTTATAATGGGGCTAGAACTTGGGGCCAGAATGCTATCCCGTTGCTTTTTTTGCTGAAGGCTAGTGCTATACCGCTTGAGCCACAGCTCCATTTTTGGCTTTTTGTAGCTTATTAGAGATAAGAATTTTTTCTACCTGGGTTGGCTTTGAGCCTTGATCCTCAGACTTCAGCCTCCTCTACAGCTAGGCTTATAGGTCCTTAGTCGCCAGCACCTGGCTCAGCTGGCACTCTTATCACTTGAGCTATACCTCCAGTCCTGGCCTTTTCTGCTGGTTAATTGGACATAAAAGTCTACAGGAGTCTGCTTGGGCCGCTTCAAACCTGAATTCTCAGATCTCAGCCTAGGATAGCAGATATGACTCAGCTTAAAGTTGAACTTTTTTTTTTGGGGGGGGGGTCCGGTTGTCGGGCCTGAATTCTGGGCCTGGGTGCTGTCCCTCAGCTCTTCAGCTCAAGGCTAGCGCTCTACCACTTGAGCCACAGCGCCACTTCTGGCTTTTTCCTTTTTGCTTATGTGGTGCTGAGGAATCGAAGCCAGGGCCTCTGGCATGCAAGGCATGCGCTCTACCACTGAGCCACCTTCCCAGCC